AGCCAGAAACCCAGGGGTCAGTGGGCAGAAGGTCTCGTTCTGGCATGTGTGCGTCGGGGAGGGCAGTGCTGGCCACCTTTGGCCCCATTCCAATGGCCCCACCTCACTTTTCCCTCTTGGGGTGTCACCGTCAGAACAGGGCCCAGCTGTGGGTACTGAGTAGTGTTTGGAAAAACCTGGCCTTCCACCTGCCTGCCCATCTGTGTGTCTCTGTGCTGCCTGTCTGGGAGCCTCTGTCTAAGGGTTCGGGGACGTGCATCCTGTTGCTGTGGTCCTCTGGCCGCAAGCTCTGCTGGGAGGAAGAAGTAAGGTGGCGCCGCCCACTACCTATGTATGGTTCACTCCACCACTAAGGCTCAGTGAGGCAGCAGCCGGGTATCAGGCAGGTGCCGAGAGGAGATGAAGAAGGTGAGGCCCCAGTGGGGTTTTAGCTGCTGGGCAGTGGGTCCCTTGGTGGGAGCTGGATGAGACGCCCCCTCACATGTATGAGTGTGTGTGTAGGTGTGGGTTGGGATTCTGGGGACACTCTGGGTGAGGGGTGGATGGCCGTGTGAGATGCCTCCTGCGGTAGCTGTGACGGGTGCCATGGCTGCTGGGAGGCCCCAGCTTTCCTGCCTGGCCCAGAGCCTGGGAGTGGGGCTGACTAGGAATGTGAGCCCTTTCTGCCTCCGGCTTCCCTCCTGGACCCCTGGGCTCTGCCCTGCTCCCCAGCCTTAGGTTCTAGAAAGTACTTATTCCTACCCTGTGCCATGCCATTCAGATGTGGGTGTGTCCCCACCAATGCAGGGGGTCCAGCCACTCTGTGGGAGTCAGAGGCCCCAGGAGGGGATGGCCCTGGGACTCGGGGCTCAGCCACCCGAGTCCAAGCAGAACCACCCAGCATCAGTGCAGTGGGTGGGCCTGCAGACAGGCCCATGTACACCGTGTTGCTGCCGGAGTGTTGTGGGCAAGGTGAGATCTGCCAGGCGCCTGCCCTCCAGTTCGAGAGCTTGGGAGCAGCAGAGTAGTAGTTCAGTGCTCACTCCTGACTATAAGACCTTAGGCTCTGTGTCCTGATTTATCTGTGCTCACTTGCCATCTGTCACATGAAGGTGAAGACACTTACCTGTAAGGAAGGGAGCATTTGGTGTCTGTAGAGTGCCATGTTTGCTGTGCAGTAAGTGATCAACTGCTCTTAGTTCAAACAAGATGGCCTCAGGGGCCCTTCTGCCCCTGCAGGTTTAGTTACTGTGAAGCACAGCTGTGCAGAAGCTGTGTGTTGTGGGCCTTTCCTTGGGCTATGTGCTAGCCGGGAGGAGCAGAGGGGAGGGCAGGATGCCTGTACCAGCGGGGCGTGGGCCATCTGCAGGCCTCTGTCCATGCTCTGGGCTGTGAGAAAGGCCACATCTTCGAGGCTGGGGAAGAGGCACCTTTCCTCCCTAGCACCCTGGCCACAGGAAGCCCCTGCTGAGCCCAGACACCAAGAGTCCCTCATTCAGGTCTGGTGAGTCTCCTTCCTCCCGTCAGGGTGGGGCCGCTGGCCGCGTTGGTTCACAGCCCAGGGTCAGAGAGGCCGGACCTGGATATTGTCGGAAGGAGGTTTCTTCCTGCCACCCGCTCCTCTCTCTGCCGTGCCCTGGCCTGGATTGTCACTTCTGAGGCACGTCAGCTCCACTCGTATCTGGCCAAGCTAAGGATGTGGTGAGAGGAACCAAAAGGGCACTGATAAGCCTTCCTGGACTGCTGGCACTTGGGCTGCTGAAGTCATTCCCTCTCCCTTCTTCTGGGTTAATACCAACTGTGGGGGGCCTGTGTGCCTGTCCTCTGTCCCATCATCAAAAAGCCTCCCTTTGTTTATTACAAAGGGAGACATGTTGGATAAGTGCATGATAAGTGTGACACAGGAGTGTCTGTGTGTCACACTTACATTTTTCATAAGAGGAGACTGAGGCTGAGAGATGGGATGTTTTGTTCAAAGTCATGACTCTGCCCTCAGACCCCATGGCTCAGATTAGCCAGCAGCTACCAAGAACATGTTGTATGTCCACCCTGTGCCCAGCCCTATGTAGGAGCTGGTGACATAGGGGTGGACACTGTCCTTGACCTCAGACTGTTCACGTGGCTGGGGCAGGGCCAAAGGCAAGACTCTCGGGCACCACTACAGAGCAATGAGGGAAATAGGTCCCAGGTCCTAAGTAGTACAGAATGGTGTGGGAGAGGGAGAGGGCAGGGGAAGCTTCACAAAGGAGGTGTTGCCTAAGCAAGGTTTTGAAGGATGAAGAGGAATTTGCTGTGTGCACGTGCATGCCCACGCGCACATGAACAGTGCGTGTGCATGTGACTTACCTAGCATCTTGGAATGCCATCAGTCTGGATCTGGCGTGAGGGTTGGTTGGTGTCAGGCCTGGCCTGCAGTTTGTGAAGGCTGCCCTGAAGGCCTTCTGGGGGCTCACTGTTACTTTAGTATGTGCTTAGGCCAGATATAGTGACATGTTTTACAGACATAAGCCTTAAGGTGGGTGCTAACATTCTTTTTATTTTCCAGACAAGGCACTTGAGGCGGAGAGAGACAGTAAGAGTCCCTTTTCTCGGCGGTCTTCTCACTGCCTGGCAGATCTCACTGTGGTTGGTCTTGCCCCCTGGTGGCCTCGGCCATCTGGGTGACACACACATGGCTGTGGCTGGGAACTGGGGCCGGGCGTGCATGTCTGTGTGCACACTGGGAGCCCTGAGGCAGGCGCCAGTCTTTGCTGATAGAGTATCTCCTCGGGGACAAGGAGAGGCAGGGGGTGGACAGGGCTGCTTCCCTGGTGTTACGGGCTTGAGGGCTGGCCAGGCCCTGATGCTGCTCCCTGGGAGCCTCTGGCCTGTTCAGTGGCACTGCTCACTTCTGGACATTCTTTCTTACACAGGGGTCCATTTATCTCTTTGGAGGTGGTGGGGATGTGTGTTGGGTGTCTGATAGGGGTACATCCCCTACCCAAGCTCAGGCACCCCCACAGTCCACCCTGTGTCCATAGGACCAGCTGTCATAGGAAATAGGGAGCCCATGGGTGTGGTGGTTTGTTTTGATTTCCTCCTCTCACCTAGTGTCAGCACTTGGTATCCAGCTGCACTCGCCCCAGTAGACTCTGTCCTGACCATGTAGCATAGACTTGTTGGTGGGACAGTCCCCAGTGCTGACCCCTGCTCCTGCCAACTCTCACCCTTCCTCACCATCCTCTGTGGACTCTAGTTGCCCTGAATGATTCAAAATCCCCTAATAATGAACCTCACTTTTCTGGTCTCCATGCCTTTGCTGCAAATCCTCACTCCATCTGAGCTGCTGCTCTCCCCAGGAAATCTTTGATAGCCCAGGTTAGATGGGGTCTCCCCTGGGCTCCCGCAGGCCCCAGTGTCTCCCTCTCTCTTGGGGCTGCACATGTGTCTGGTTGATCTCTGCTGCCCCAGCAGAGATGCCTGGGACCGGGCACAGAGCAGGCACTTGGCGAGACGGCCAAATGCACTACATGATGAGAGAGGGACCTGCGAGCTGACTGGCCTGCTGTGGTCCCTGGGCCAGCAGGAGAAGGAGCAGCCGGGCAGTGCAGGCTCTCCCAGGCCAGTCAGCGGCAGGAAGGGTCTGGGCTGTGTTCTGGAACTGGGCAGCCCTCACTCTAGGACCCGAGCCTGGGTCCTGGGCAGGCAGAGCTGGCGTTCCAGGCAGTGTGGCCCACGTCAAGGTCTTTGAAGGGAAGACATAGCTGAGGCAGTGGTGGTGCTGAGCTGCTGGTCTCAGGCTGCTGCTAGGCTGGCTCCCCTGGTCCTGTGTGGCCCAGCCCCCGTAGGGTACTCAGCCTCACTCTGTCCACACCCACTACCTGCCACCTGTATCCTTATTCTTTTGGGCTGTGGCCACTGCCGCTGCTGAGCAATCTTAATGTCCTTTCTGCTGCTTAATAGAGGTGCCTGCCCAGGGCTGTAGATGGCAGTTTCTGTCTCCATTTTGATCTCTGCCTCCCTCTCTCCCTGCACACCCTACCCCATCTCTGCCTCAGCACCCCTTCCCTGCATCCCCATCTCTTGTCTTTCCCTTTCTGTGCTCCCCCCCACCCTCAGCCCTCCTCACCGCTATTTGGTGCTCTCCCCTCCCCCCTCCTCTCTCTCATCATAGGGAACTCTGGGACTGTAGGGGAATCTGGGAAAACCTGGTGGGCCAGCCCTTCTGGTCAGGGCTTCCTCTTAGACTCTTTTACTGGCCTTGGATGTCCCTCCCCCTCCCCTCCCCCTTT